ATTTTAGGGTGAAATATTACACTGGTAATAGTACAGGACTCATTTGACTGCCTGGCTTCTACTCAACCCCATAATTAGATGCGTCTCCTTGTTATATCTTAGTCTGGCAAAGCTGTTCTTTGTTTCAATGTGGTGAGTTCTGTTTCTATAATGGGAAAATAAAGCTGTAAAATTTTGTCTGAAGCTGTACACCAGAGTTTTGCATCAAACTGAAAAAAGAATAATTCTTGCAGAGGCAAGAATTTACAAAAGCCTGCTTCATTTTACAGAAGATACTTTTGATAAATAATGTGTTATTATCTAAACATTCATCAGCTGGTATCGGATGCATTCAAACGGGCTCCATGAGCATCGCAGGACATGAAACCTTGCAGAACTAAAGCTGCTGATGGCTACAATGTCGGTCGCTCTGTCGTTTATGTGGCAATAAGCACATGCAGAGCACACCATTACCGGAAGTGTCACTTCACAGAATCACGTAAATGGCTTAATTCCACCCTCGACCCGATGCTAATGTCGGTAATAGTCACACAACTGCGCGCGTGCAAACACAGGCGCAGCATCTCCTGCTCGACACACTTCAGTCTGTTTGCTCAGCATCTGTCCTCAGTGATCTTTTGTCCGTCAAAAGCTCTTAGCGCTTCCATCCAGAGCCCTCTGCTCTGTGCGTTTCATTATTAATGGAGCTCAGCAGGCCAGGAGCACACACACGGGCAGGGCCTGCACGTCACCGCTAGCTGTTCTAGACAAGATATGAAATCATACGCTCGCAATATAGAGCGAAATAAACGGTATAGAAAGGACGTGTTTATCTTCGGCTACTTGTATTGTATGAATGTGCACAGCAACATGAAGATGTCCTGCATGGATATTGACGCTGTCCATACAGGCCGTTACAATGTAATATGCTGTGTTCAACACCAGCTGGCTTTTTCTTTGGCGGTGACACTGCTTTTGACCTTGTTCGCCGTTGACCTCATGCACACAGTGACCTAATTAAATCGGGTTACCTTCAAACGCGTGAAGTGAAAATAAAATCTATGTTAGTCTCTGTACACCTGAGCCGGACAAACACAGAGTAAAGGGCTTTACCGACGCCTGAATAAATAATAAGAAATAGAAGATTCCCACAGCGATGCATCATGTAAGCTTCACACATGGATACCGACTCGTGCTCCGCTGGCTGGCAGTCCAGTGTTGTTCCCCTTTGTTGTTGTTTTGTGGGTTTGCTTGTTATTTACCTGCAGTGGCGGTAGGGCCACGGTAACCATCTTCATATAAAGCACGATCGCCGAACAGTCAGCATAGCGGCAGGTTTTCCCATTCAAGATGACGTGAATGCAGCCTTAGTTATTATTTATTCATACTTTGTTCTACGGACCATCAGCTGCCAGTGACGGCGCGTGAAGCTCTCTGATTGGACGACTCTCACCGCAGCGAGTCTCTAGTTGACCTCAAAACTGTGGCGTTCGCTGCCTCGCACCTTTGACTTTCTGCCGTTGACGCAGGTTTCTTCCAGCTCGATATCTCATCGCTTGGGCCTGACGATTCAACCAGGAGAGCTTTGCGTTTGTATGTATTTTTTATGTCTACGGGAATGAGTGTTAGTGGCTTCCTGTGTGTGTGTGTGTGCGTGTTTTTCGATCTGACCTTTCCCCATATGGTGTGGGACTGAGGGGGGGGGGGGCAGGAGGTGAGCCCTAGAAATGATATCAGCCCGAGTTGTTATCCATCTGACACACACACACACACGGGCGCATGCACACGCTGCAGGCCATACAAGTCGGTGTTACCTGATATTCAATGTGTGTAGGAGAAACAGAAGGGAAGAGAAAGTCATACGTGTGATGTCGGAGGCGGCGCGTTCACTGCCGCCCGTGGTTTGGATTGCCGCTCGCTCCCCTTCCCACCGCCTGGGGCTCTCTCTCTCTCTCTCTCCCTTCTGTCTTCCCCCGCCCACTTCCCACAATCTTCAGCATCGGTCCGCCCCCCCGCGGGCAGACACACACGGGCTTTTCTATTTATTTATTCCAGTTCGTGAAACAAATGGAGGAGTCGTTGCGCCGTCGTAAATCATTAGTGGAGAACTGATGTTCGGGGTGCTTGGGTTGTGTCTGATGATGAATTCTGTTTCTTCCAGCCCCCCCTCACAAATGGTAGGGGGGGGGGGGGGCAGCATATTCTAATGATATGTCCCCTCTTAACTTTCACTGTATCAGTTTAAGGACCCTTATTTGCATTATTGGTTTGACAGGTTGGTTACTGTTTGTAAGTTGATACGGCTTCATGACGTCACCACGGTGGTCAACGTGCACGGCGCTCATCATCCTAAAATCTATGTTGTCTTGAAATAAAGCACTCGGCTGTTTAAGTTCCACTCCAGATAACCTGATGTCTGTTTGATAATCTCCAGTATTGGTTTCCAGATGCATTAGCGAGGACTGATCTAATTTAAACAGATACATAATTACCTCCTTTAGCTTGACTGGATATTGTATTACATACACAGTGGTTACTCAAAGGAATACCAATGCTAGCAAATCATAGCAACCATCGAGACAAAAGGCCGACCCGATGGTTTCTCCTTACAGCACGAGTACCAGCGTTACTTGGCCTCGTCTTTGCGTCTAAAGACGTCCTCATGAAGAAGTGTAACCCTCCCAGAGAGATGCATCTGATTGATCTTCATATGCAAATCCAGTCTTTTAAGGGGAAGAAGAAAGGGAGAGGGAAGTTTAGCTTATCACCAACCAACAGATGTTCAGACCAGATGTGCGTTCTGTCTGTTTTGTCTCTGCGTCTGAGAAGAGCCGAGCTTCAGCGCTGGCCGGTCGGAATGGAGTCGACCAGCTGCTGCTGAGGAAATAAAAAATAAAACCTTCTCACAGTGGCTGCTGGTTGATCTGATAGCCGAGGCAGAGCGAGCCAGAGGATCAGGATGAGAGCGTCTAGCTGGAGGAACCGACTTCAGTGTCGTAAAGACGGGATGCTGCAGGATGCTGCTCGAGCAGCTTGCAAGAAGGTGCTGAGTGGACGGTTTGCGGGCCCTGGACCGCTGTCTTTAAAACTCCCCACCCCTCACCCCCACCCACCTCTCTCTCTCACCCTCTCATGTAAAACAAGCCAAGCCAAAACAACGAAAGTGACTTTTTCTGATCTACACATTTATTTGCTTATTTTTTTAGTTACATTCTGTAACTATCTGTTGTCCCAACATCGGATTGGCATCTGTATCCCCCTCATAGTAGCATTCAATAAACCTCATTTTTTGACATTTGGTGTCATACAGCTGTGAAAATCTCTTTTATTATCATTATTATCATCGGCTACAAGAGCTGCACACTGCGTCAAAAAGGCAACTGTTAGCTCCAGTGGGAGACGAACAGGATTACAGAATACAGAACAGATCGGAGAGCAGAGGTGCAGCCTTTCAAAAAGTAGGGTAGTGACCCATAAAGGTCTCTGCGTTAAATCCCTGGAAGTGTTGTGGCCCGGTGCCCATGACCGTGGAATTAAAGCCCCTGCAAAAAACAACTGGCTGCCAGAACCCGCCGCCGTGCAGTTGTTGCACTGCTAGAAGTTCAAGAAACAATTGTCCACTTGTTTCTCGCTTCTTATCTCCCTTCCTTCCCCTTTGTGTCTTTGTTTGACATTCCCTCCCTCATCCCGTCCTCACGCCTTCCCTCTATCTCGCATTATAACTTCCATGCCTAGTTGATTTGGGTGAGCGGAGGGAAACAGGCAAAGCTTCCGCGGTTCAGGGCTCTGGAGAGCTCGGCCGGGCAGCAGCAATCAATCACGGGCTAAATCCCTCCTCTCTCCGGACTGCCAGGTGACACGGTCAACAGCTGCAGAGGAATATAAAGCCTGCAGTGGGCATTTGAATCTGCAGGTTCAGAGCGGCCTGACGTCTGGAGAAACCCCCCTGAATATTTAAGACCAGACCGTCTTCACCAATGCTTTGGTCAAAATTGGTTTTGATTTTATGATAACAATGTTTCCTTCTTGATACCATCATTTACGTATCGGCTGATAAAGAGTAACTATTTAATACCAGTCTTAAAAACAAAACACAAATGCGTTTTCTTTTTTTCAAAGCTGTAAATGACAAAGCCTGTATGGATGTGATCAGGTTGATGTGGTTGTTGTCTGACCTGCTTCAGGTTAAAACCCTTTTAATGCAGATTTTCCAGTATTCATTTCATTTACCAGCTCGTTCTAATCTTAGCCTGCTGATGATGGAAGTGGCTAAGACCGAGCTATCTCCTTTCTGATACCTATCGGGTCTCGAGTGACGCGTGTTTTGGTCCCTGACAAACATAAATGAGCAGGGAAATGATATTTATGTGATATCGGATCGCTGCATAGAAACGCTTACTCCGATACTCATTCCAGCATTTTAGACTTCCAGAACAAGTTTAAGTTTAGACACATGCTAGCGAGACTTCCTTCCCTCTGGCGATCAGAAACGTGAAGGCTGCTCTTCCTGGCATCACAGTGCATGCTGCGTAGAACTTACAGAACGGAGTTCCAAGCTATGCTTTTGCTGTGAGTTCATTGGGGATAAGTGTTCCATTCACAGCTTATGGTAAATGAAAATGTGCGCTTGAAGCAGCAATGACGAATCCCCCACCAAATCAATTTTTATTACAGAGCATTTTAGTGTACTGAGTCTGGATACTGCCTCATACATCAACATTACACACTCGCAAAGAACGCATAACCAAAAAGCTTCAACGGATTATAAATTGAAGTGGTCGAATCCCCAGCAGAAGTACACAGGGTTATGATATGAGGCTATTTAAAGAAATATATACCGTACTTGTATCCTGGCAAATGAATGGATCCATTGCAACTTCAACGTTCTGCCTGAACTATAATGTACTGTATTTAAGGGTTGTGTTAAACCTGGTAACGCGGCATCCTGCGTGCGTTGACTCTAGTTGGTGGAAAGTATATTCACGTCTGACTCTGGGCCAATGTGCTTCTTCTTCTTGCAGACGTGTCTAGAGTTGGAGCGATACCTGCAGACGGAGCCCAAGCGCCTCTCGGAGCTCTTTGATGAGGAGCTGGACGGCCTCTTGACGCCCACCTTCATGCAAGGGGGCGACAGTGACGAGGACCTGATGGACCCCCTCCTTCCCAGCCTCTCTGACCAGCCCAGCCCGCCTCCGCTGCTGGTGTCAATCCCCAAGGTCCAGGCTAAATTTCTCCAGGTGGCCAACTCCAGCAAGATCCCAGCCGAGGTGGGGAGCGAAACCCTCACACCGAAGGACCACGTCCTGGCAGGAGTCAGTGCAGCACAGCTCAGCGCCGCTGTCACATCCCTGACACCGCCATCGTCACCGGAGCTCGGCCGCCACCTCATCAAGTCCACACAAACACTGACCGCGACGGCGGACGGCACGCTAACGCTCAAATTTGTGGCCAAGAAAGTAGGGTTGGGGGCGGCCAAACTGGTGGCGGCAACGGCGTTACCGTCGCCGCCGAGCCGAGGGGGGGCCCTCAGTGATGGCGAGCAGGGAGGAGGAGGAAGTCAGGGAGGAGACGTACCAGAGAACAAAAAGAGGGTGCACCGGTGCCAGTTTAATGGCTGCAGGAAGGTTTACACCAAGAGCTCCCATCTGAAGGCACACCAGAGGACTCACACAGGTAAGACCTTCATTACAAGCGTTGACATTACCCAGGATTCTGTCCTCCCCATCACATGTTTTGGAAACCATGCAAACGAACAGCAGTTTTTTGTGATCTGTGTTCAAAGATTGCTTGAATTAGACGAGTGCCCGGTCACCCAGTATTAGGACACTGCAGTGGGACAGAATACAGACGTGAAAAGCAAGCGTTTTTGTGGACAGATATTGTAACGTTCTTGGTGCAGCACTGGATGCAAAGTGCTCTGAAACGAGAAGCAAAGCTGGCTGCAGCACAGGTGTGACCGAACATCAGGACGATACCCAGCTGGTGATGTCAGTGGGACTTGGCAAGGCTTGAAAATGTTGACCTTGTTAGAAGTCGTAGAACTTCTCTGTTGACTTTCTGAACCCTGAAAGGAAAATACATACTGCATGTGCATAGAAATGGCCAAAAGGGCTCCACTCCACTAGGTGGTGTAGTTATATGTTGGCGAATGAGAAATGTCACAGCTACATTACAAACACCAGCACTGGGGTTTTGGCACTACCAGATGCCATATGTTCAGCAATGTGACCAAAGATCTTAAACTTTCACCAAAGCCGATTCCCGCTTGGCTGAAATTACGTCACATCATCTTTGTCCGTTCCGAGCGAGACATTTACCAACATCCAACATTTTCTAACGATACATTTTTTATGTCCCAATTGGACTTTGGGAAGCTTTGACAATGAGTGTTGGGAATGATTGTGCATGTCCATGCAACTCCCTTTTGGAGGAGTTTTTTTGGGGGAGATTATGACCTCGCCTCGTCTTCTTCCGCTTCTCAGGTGATTCTCTAGATCCCATAAATTTCCTCATGCGTCTTGATCCGAGCTCAGGGCCAAAAGGACCTGCCACAGTAATTGCCGGATAAGTGATGGACTGGTAGTAAATGACATCGGTAATTCAGCCGTGTCCAACTGGGTATAAGACGGAGCTTTAGCTGCTAACTACAGCTGCCCTCTCAGTGACCCTCAGAGAGAACAGACAGCTGGCTGATGTGTCCGGGGGCCGTTGCAGCGAGCTCTGCAAAGTGCACGTAGTGACGAGCTCACAGTTCGTGAAGGGGACTCACGGATGCAGACTGGTTGGAATGATGCAGACGAATTTGGGATTTGCTTAAGTTTGCACAGCCAGAGGTGACCTAAGCTTAGATTTACATCTGTCAACGTGAAGAGGTCGCTGGATAAGGAACACGGTGTTGTTTTCTGAATGAGTTACTCAAAACCTTGAACCAATAATTTCAACAATTAAGTCTATTGACAAAAGAAGATGTTGTTTGACATATTGTAATGTAAAGGGGGAAAGATTCTGGCTGTAGACCAACCAAAGTAGAGTTAATAAAAATAGACAGGCCGTAGGTTCGGACTAAGTGGCAAGCTCCGGATTTAAAAAGGGACGCCATGCTGATTAAAAAGGTGGCAATATAGAGGCCATTATCGTGTCAGGCACTGGTTACCTATTGTTGGAGAAACATATCAGTTCAAAGGCTATCAGACGTATAAAAAAAAATACTGCACAGTATTTAACAATATCACAAGGAAGGAATTCACAACTCTGAGAAGTAATCACAAAGTCAGTCATGTTTTCAAAAGCAGCGAAGATCAGCAGGTATAAACCGTTTTTTAAAGTTTGCAGTAAACTTCTGTCACCGTACCCACACTTACAATCAATGAGGTCAATGTGTGCTTCAAGGCAATACTGTTACCTGTCTGACCTGTGGAACTATTTTACCAATTGTAAGTGGTAAGCAAAGAAAACATTGATTCATTCACAAAATAAACAGCTATTTGATTTACATTTACAATTTACAGTAAATCACTACTTTAAAGTTATACAAAATATTGTACCATCGGATTGGACATCCCTGTACATCCTTCCAACTTTTTTAAGGTCAAAATGCATTCTGGATTAAACATCTTTGAGCCAGAATAACTTGATCTGGGTCCATCACTTATCATCTTGCCCCACTGGGAGCTACATTATTCACCTTTAGCTTTAGCCGCAGCATCATTTAGAGAATCTGGAGTGGTTCACGGCCTCCGGTGGACATCATCTAGTGTTAGCAGTTTCCTTGGTGTTCATCAGGATTACGGTCCATAGCCTGCAGACCCCCAACTGTATTAATACTGGCAACCTTGGCACCATTAATCCGGCGTGTTACATGCTCATATGATCCCAGCGGCCATTGCTTTGCTTTAAGTATAGCATTACATTTCAGGGCAGCAGCTAGCATAGCCTCGGGAACCCGGTGCTGAGCCTTAATAATAGCTAATCCAGAATGGAGCAGCTAGATTCCTGGTAGCCTGGCGGCCGGCTGCAGTATCTCTCCTGGTGATTCTATAGTCGAGTCATGCTATCCAACGATGAGCTTTTCAGGGCAGAATCCTTCAGTGAGGGGGGAAAAAAAGACACCCTGGAGACACTGCAGCTTCTTCAGCGAGGGTGTGTGAGTATAAATGTGGGGGTGGCGTAGGCCCTCCCCATGTGTTCACTACAAGCACCGCGCCGTGTTTAATTAGCTTAATCCTCTTTTGGGGTTATTATGACCATAAAGCATTGAACATACATGTGGTTGAGGGATTAGCGTAGCGGAGAGTGCAGGGAGGAGCGAGGGCAGAAAGCCTGCACAGCATCAATACTCTTACTGTCACATGGTGCACACCAGAGGCCATCGTGGCCCCGTCAGGCGTTCTACTCAACATGTGCAGCGATTCCACATAACGGCCGTAGCCGGGTTCCTGTGCCGGTGTCCAAAAGTATTTCTCTGAGCTACCGATTTAATTGGAGGCTTATTTTGTTACATGAAATGTTTAATTAGGGAAGGTTGAAACGGTAACAGATGTACAAATTAATTAAAGTAAGTCTCCAAAGTACCCAGTCAGAGCTGGTCTGAGTTGAAGCCAGCGTTTTTCTGGTTCTCCGGTGGTTTTCACTCTCCCTGATCCAATTTTATCTTTTAAAACATTGCATAGCGTGTTGTTCAAGCTGCAGTCCAAAACGATATGCTAAACTACATATTTGGAAACAGAGATAGTAGAATATATGAACATTTGCCTCGTCTCGGCATGAACTCAGTAAGCAGTGTTTTCTAAAATAAGATGAAACAGAAGGAATATAGCAGAGACATGTTTAGTGAAGCACCAAGAGAGACGGGTGGAAACTACCTGCTTATAGCTACATCAGTGAAAAAATACACCCTCCACTTACTCCGAGAACAAGTTGCTTGTGTCAAAGATGATTGGCAGTTGTGTCATTCCCTCACAACATAGAAGAAACACAAAAAACAAATACTATTGTGGTACAATATATAATACAGGGCGATGCCTACACTGGGTTCTCATTATGCATGTTAAACTATGTTCATCCTTCATTTGTGAAAGCAACTTTTTTATTGTTATTAACAATATGAGCATATCAAAAAAGGTCTTGATCTTTAAGTCTTTTTCAAACGTTTACAATTGACCTCTGCTCACGTGGAGCTCCGTCTCCATGGACCCACACAGTGAGCGCACACACTAGTGAGCACGATCCCACTAACGGGCCGAGAGCACTCGTTACAAAATGTTGGTATCCGGACGTCTGTCCGCAAAAAAAATCTCCAGCTTTAGACCTTGGACCCCTCCTTCCCCCCACCAGCCCACCAACCCCCCAATCCCCCGCACCACCACCTGAACACATCGGCTCCATCCCCCACTCTCCGCAGGTACCGTTACAACCTCATGTGGATTCAGGGAAAACCCTTCTGTAACCCCAGACCTCCACTCACACACACACACACACACACACACACATGTATATATATATACCTTAAAACTCCTCTTCACCCACTGGGTCCATTCTCCAACCTGAGCACTCTCTCTCTCTCTCCATTTGATCATTCAGTTTGGGTTGCCAAGCAACTGCATCACCCTCTTCCATAATTGGATGGTGGCTGGTTGATTGTCCATGCCTGTTAATCTCTCTCTCACTCTCTCTCTCTCTCTCTCTCTCTCTCTGCAACCCCCCCCTCCCCCTGTTCTCTCTTTCTCTCAGTTGCTAGGTGACTTAACCACGCATCCTTGCCGTGCTATAATTGGCCGGCGTCATGGTTGCCGTGGCGTCGGGCCCGAGCTGGCCTTGCTTCATTCCACCAACTGTGTGTATGTGTGTGTTGTAGCATGTATACACGTGTGTGTGTGTACATGTGTGTGTGTGTGTGTTTTGGGTATGGGGAGGGGGGGTATTGAAGGGAAGATGGGGTGCTCTGGCCAATTACAGAAGACGGGTGTGAAACGGCCGCCTGTCTGGCACCTGCGGCCCCCACTCGTACCCCATATCACACACACACACACACACACTCACACACACATGCAGGTTGAGAGTGTAACATTTCTCCAACAGGAGAAGCTGCCAAGTGGTTTGCTAATGCATATTGAAAATATTAGTCCCGTATTCATTCCTGTGGAGTGAGTAGGAGGATTCACCAGAATGCATCATGGGGGATGTTTCCTTCTCAACACAACCAAAAGAAAATCGGTTGTAGAGTCAAATGTTAGTGGAAAAAACATGTCGCATTTGTTGCAGGAGTCTTGCTCCTGTATTGATTCATCTTTTTGAACAACATTAGTGGATGTGAAGTTCAATAGACCAAATATTTTAATTATACTGTTTTTATTCGACAACTAAGCTTTATTTTTTAAAACAGTAGAATATCACATGCTCACACGAGATTCCGCTGTTCTCACGTGTTGAGCTATACTCATGGTGACTATGTATTGTGCGCTGAAGAGAGAACTTCCTCCAGCAAGTTCCTCGAGCTGTTCCTGGGGGGCCCGACTCATGCTGACAGAGGAAGCCTCTCCAGCTGGCTGTAACCACATCTGACTCACTTATATCTGTTTTCTCCTATTCGCAGTCATCACAAATGGCTTGTGGTCACAGGATTTCTTCTTTCTCCCTGTCGATGGCTCCTTCAAGGCCTTCAACACTGCAGCCGAATGTCAGTCAAGCTCAAAAGCCTTGTAACCTGTAACAACCCATTAAGGCTTTCATAGTCTACGATGAGGCTTTCAATGTCCGAAAGAGCACCACACCGATCTAGCCCTGCACTCTCAGATGATGGCTGGTGGAAAAAGAGATATTGATGCAACTAAACCGTGGACACTTTTACCACGACAGTGCACTTAAATGTAACAGACGAATCAGAATTGAGACCAAGATTCGGTTCAGGAGGATACTCGACGGGACACACTTATCTTGTCTCCGAAGGATTCAGGGAGTGTAGACTAGACGGAGGGAGATATATCTCCAAAAGCGCACAACAACGAGACGGCAGCGATACCCGGATCCCTGTTGTGGAAATCAGCAACCGACGGCACGAAATTTGACTGCGACCATTTGAATAGGCAAATCCAGGAGGGCACCGCCCACGACCTGGAACTCATTCGGTCCGAGAATAACCAGGTCACCTTGTCACGTCGCGGCCGTGGATGAAAGACGACACTGATCAAAGAGAAACGGGAGCCGGGGGGAGAAACGGAGGGGTCGGGTGTTCCTGTAGGACATCATCTTTTACTTGCCGTTGCATCACCGCGCTGTCAGAGGCGCTTCAGATGCCGGTCCATGTGAAGGTGTGCTTTCTACAGCTTCCGTCATCCTGACACCGCGCTTCAAGGCGCCGAATTACGCCAAATACAAACTGGCACTTGTTTCATGTGTTGCTATGTGACCGAAAAGTACGATAAAGTCAAATACGGAACAAAGAAATCGGCATCTGCTGAAAAGTCTGCATTGAAATGCATCCAAACTTTCAGTTACACAATGAAATATTTGAATGGATTTTTTGCACCTGCGTTTGTTGGACACAATAGTGGCTTGTTTGAGTGTATCAGTAACGGACCCCGCGATTGGACGGTGCTTTTATTCGCAGTCGGGCCTTGCTTTGCAATACCGTATGTTGACCAAAAAGTCCCCTTGGCTGTAAAGTCTTTACTCTGGGAAATCATTTCAAACTGTTCATTTCTGCAAAAAAGTGATTTGCCATTTAGTTTTACCTGGCCGGAACGTTTGACGAGAGCCACAAACATCTCAGTCATCACAGCAGCTGCACTTCATTCATTCATCAAACTTATTTTCTTCCCTGCTTCCAGCGAGTGAAATGAATAACAAGTCTGTTCATTTGAAAAAGAATTTTCACTGCAAGATGAGTCATGGTCTTTTACTATTAAATCATTTTATCTGATAACTATTATTAACGTTTGTTTATTTAGTTGACCTTGGCCTCCTGTCGTTTTATAAGAGTCCATTTTAAATCCTTTCAAATCCCATAAATGCTCTTCATCTGCTGAGTGGTGAGCGAGGTCGACTCCCGTTCTGCCCTCGCTCCCTCACGGTCCCTTTTTCAGCTACTTTTTGTCAATTCTTTCCTTTTTTTCTGTCCCCACCAACCACTAAATATCACGTAAAAAAGTATTTAATAAGTACAGCACCCTGCCGGTCTTTGCCTGTGTAAATATCCACGCTTAATGTTCTGGTCTGAGTCCGGTTTGACTTTGGGGGGGAAGCATTCAGTATTTATTACAGGTTACACACCAGACATGCGTGTCACATTGAGACCGCTTCCATATGAAGTCACTGCAGCAGCTTTAGATAAACGCACCTCAAGTGATGAAAAAACACTAGTTTCTACTACTTTATTTTCAGAATGATTTGCTCAGAGAGAAACTCGCCCTCGTACAGTCAAACATCCTCATGTCCCGTCTGAAGACGATCACACTACGCACACTGCACACTCATTATGCACACTGCACACTCACTACGCACAATGCACACTCACTACGCACAATGCACACTCACACTGCACAGCTGCAAGGCTTTCTATCGTGGAGAGATAACTACAGGCCGAGAACAATAGAGCATCTCTCCTCCCATCTGCTGAAGTGGGGGATGAAACTTCATTTACATTTTGAGATCCCACCACCTCAGGGTGTGTGTGTGTGTCTGTGTGTGTGTGTGTGTGTGTGTGTACTGGGGGGGAGCGAGATTCATTTCAGGGGGAATTTAGGATTATGAATTAACACGCCGCAGTGCTGAAAGACTTCATTTACAGCTAATTGAATATATTAGCTCATTGAAATGGCTGTCGTGTAAAAATGGCCTGTCTGTCTGGCCGTGTGTGTGTGTGTGTGCGTGTGTGTGCGTGCGTGTGTGTGTGCGTGTGGCTCTGGAAATAACAAGCGGTGATTACCTGTATATTATTGAACAGCCGTCATTGAATGTGTGAGATTATAAAGAGTAATAAAATGCGACACCTTCCCTCCCCCCCTCTCCCCCCAGGTGAGAAGCCCTATAAGTGCTCGTGGGAGGGCTGCGACTGGCGTTTCGCCCGCAGCGACGAACTGACGCGACACTACCGCAAACACACCGGAGCCAAGCCATTCAAGTGCAACCACTGCGACAGGTAAGAGCATCCGCAGGCCCACCGAAACACCACTAAGTGAACAATCGGGGACGTGTGCAGACACATCAATAAAGTGCACAAAGCCGGGAAACTGCCACCGGGCCCCCGGCTCCTGCATCTGAGACAGTTTAGCAAACATCTCGTTAAACCACAATGGCGGGCACGAGACACAACTCGGCGAGCCGATAAATGCATCACAAGGGCCCGTCTCCGCTCCGAAAAACAGCGGAAAATGAAGGGCGATCAAACTGACATCTGGCGAGGCGGAAAATGGGCGTATTTACTTTCGCGCGGCTCTTTCATGCGTCTCCTTTAAATCAATAGTTGCATTGGGAGGGGGGGGGGGGGGCGTCATGGCATAAGCAATCTTTTTCCTTTTGTTGATAGTGCATCAGTAGGCACGAAGGCTTTGAAAAGGGGGACTTGAGTCCAGCTCACGTCTCTTATCACAGAAGTCCTGACATCGTCCCTTTTACAGACAAAACACGGCGTAGAGGAGACCTGGTTCGTTTTCAGGGGGGACAGGAGGAGCTCAGGGGGACTTCTTTATCTGGTTCAAGACTTTGAGTTACAATGCACTCAGTTTACCGATTAGGAATTTTGGAATTCATTTAAATAGCAAAAGGCTTCAGGCGGTAGGAATGCCTCCAACAAATAACGTATTTTTGGCTTTTTGTGTGAGGACTCGTTGGTCTGGGGACTCGTGTCCCGACAGAGATTGCTCCTTACAAAAAGCAATCTCTCCGTGGACAAAAGCCAGAGACGTCACAGTATCTCTGTTTGGTCCCGGAGGTGTAGTGTGTGTTTCGTCAGTGTGTGTGTGTGTGTGTGTGTGTGTGCGTGTGCGTGTGCTTACCCATGCCCCTGTGCTGGAAGTTAAATGGATTCTGGCTCTTGGCAGGCTGGTCACAGCTAATTGAGTGGCACCAGATGCCAGCTCCACTTTAACATACACACTCTCTGTATGTGTGTGGGCCTGCACTACCTTTTCTGGTGAATAACACGCACACACAGTCACACACACACACACACACACACACACACACACACGTTGGCCCTAGAGACAGTGTAATTGGCTGTAGCGGGTTCCCTCTAGTTTGGGCTTTAGACATAAACCCCTCCAGAAACCTGCTGGAAGCTTCTAATCCTGGCTGAGGGCTGGGACTGTATTAGCTCCTCCTTGGCTCACGCACAAACGCCGTCTGCAGGGACTCACACACGCGCGCGCGCACACCAGCAAGACGCAAAGTCAAACGTGTAAAAGTCCAGATGTAAGATGCATGCATCAAAGTCTGCAGAGACTATCAAAGGCGTTTTTCAAGCATTTAATAGGTCTGCTAACTTTGCGTTTGGATGTTTTGCCAAAGAACCATCAGTGCAAAGGATGAACATCAGTGTGAGAAAAAGAACCACAAGTTCAGAGAGACATTTCAGTAACATCCAACCAGCGCGTCCTCGCTGCTACAGAGCTTCAAACTATCACGCCCTACGAACGCCCCGAGCCACCATTCGGAACTCGTGGCGTGCAAAGTTTTCTTTCTTTTCTCCACGGGACGACGTTTGGGACGACGTTTGGGACGACTAGAGTCAACAGAGCAGGGGGAGATGTGGGGCCGGCGTTGTGTTTGTTTCACAAAGTTACGGTCTGATTTATTCAAGGGAAACCTTTTCAACCAGCTCTGTGTGACAGCAGCACGGGCCCGACCATGCACGTGTAGCACAGGGATTCATTAATGGGGAATGTGTATAGACGTGTAACCGGGGCACACTTCTGAACACTTTATCTTAAACATGCGGCTCTGTTTAGCTGCGTAATGAGATTAGAGGCGGACAGCAGCCGCCGGATTCAAAATTCTCATTGTGTGAAAGCATCAACGGGCGGGTTTACATATTTCCAGCATCCCTTTAGGATAAACCTAAAGCCTTTTTGATACTGAAATTACAAAGAAGATGGAGACATGCTTAACATAACCAGGATGTGTCTTTACAGTAGCACACACACACACACACACACACACACACAAACACACATCTGTGGTGGGTGGAGCCCACTAAAATATTACCATGAGAATGGAAAAAAGTGGCAGCCATGGAGAGGTTAACATTAGATGGACTGTTCAATCTGACACAATTTCTCTTGGGGAAACACACACACACACACACACACACACTGCAGTCTGTCATTAATCCGGCCTAATCAAGCGGGGACCCCCCGATGTTTCTGGATGGAGGAGGAGTGATGAGGAGGAGGACAAAAAGAAGTGAGGTGGAGAAAGGAGAGTTTAGAGGAGGGGAAGTAGTGTGTGTGTGGGGGGTGGGGGTTTTGGGGGGTTTTGGGGGGGGACCAGCTGGTCTGGCTGCTCCGCGCCCCAGCAGTGACACAGTAACTGGCATGGCCATCTGTCCAGTCACACACACACACACAGATTGGTGGAGGTGTACAGTAGGTACCACATGGCCACACGAGATCACAGACAACAGAGAAGAGGGCAAAGTTCAACTGTACCTTCGCATCGTGTTATCAGTAGTACGTTGGAACCGGACTACTTGAGGACATTTTAAATGTCCGGGGGGAGGACGGGACGGGACGGGGGGGGGGGCTGGCCCACATTTTTGTTTTTTTAAAAAAAAACCTTTAAAGCCCCCCAAACAAAAAAAACACAGGAGAAAAGGAAACCTGCTCATGGTGTGACGGCGGCGGTTAAGGTTGCAGTTAAGCAGTAAGAGACGTCTCGCGTCGCTACTTTGACGCCGGGGGACGCTCGGGGGGACGCCGTGTAACCGCCTCGGTATGAAACGGTCGCAGCTAGCATGTTGTAACCAACGTTTTTGTGTTAATGGCAACAGTTACCATGGAAACGAAGCGATGGCAACACGTGGTGTATTTTTGCGGTTGTGTCGTTACGATACCGAATGCACAGGCGCATTAGGCTGCTTTAAACTGTCTTCTCTACGCTGGTCACAGATCTCCTTCAAGGTGATTTTGTGAGGACGGCTTCTTTGATTGAGTTGGACATTTTTAACCGTTTTTTTTAATCATGTGACGTTGCTGTGACTGTAATTACTGAAGACTGATAGAAAGCGAACAAACAATGTGAGAGACGTACACAACTTTCTATTGTGCTTTTGAGTGTTGAGCTCTGTCTGGATAGCTCGCCTAAACACACGCACACACGCACAATAAATAGCCTTGTCTGATTAATAATGAATAAAGCCTCTGGCAAATTACATTTTTAATTTCTCATTTTCTCCTCGCCCACATTTTGTTTTGCCTCTCCTTTAGTCGTATCCTCTGCGATTCATTTTTATTGGAAATGTTCAGCTTTAATGATGTAATTAAATGAAAAAGCTTGTGACGTTAGGATTTTTATATTACTCATCAAGCAGCACCTGATTTTATGTCTCTCTCTCCTGTGAAGTCCTGCTGAGTTTCGTTTCCCGGCATAGGAGAGTACCGCCAGCCTGTGAGCATTACTGTCTATGCTCCCCATGCATATCGTATGAGTGGCTACAATAATATTCTACTTGGCGCTGGAGGACTGAGTGCAGAGCGGTGGAGGTCTGCCTGTGATTTATGGTCGCGTTTGAGTCGTATTTAGGAAATCACCGAGGCTGAATGGGCCGGTATTCGTCTGTACGTCCCGGGTTAACTGCTGTGACATAATGAAGAAAGAGTATTGAAGTTCACCGCCGTTTAAAAGGAAGAGCAGTCGGCTGCGTTGGTGCAGTTGTATCTCAAACGTCTCCTAATTATTTGACCTTTTAGCGTTTTCTGGTCGCCTTGCTCGACGTGTCCTGGGCCACAAGCAAGATTATGCTGAGGGGCAACACAGTCTATTACTATGCTACAATACAATTATTAATCAATACCATTATCAGAATTTTATCCGTTGCATCAGTCCCATTCAAACTCCGGCTCTAATATACATTTTCAAATATCACTTAATATTTGTCTTAATGCAGTTGGCCCAGCTCATCAGTATTTTAAATTCCCTATTAGGTTCAGGTTTAGGTTTATTCCCATAAAGGTTCACAGGTGTTAAAGCAGAGTGCACGGTGGTGAGTTCAGGGGGCGTGGGACCGACGAGGATACAGAGAGCCGTGGTTGAGAGATTATTGAAGCTCCCTTTAACTGAAGGGCCAACATGTAAGGGAGGGAGGCTGCGCGTGTGGAACGTTTCCAGCAAATACACATAGCCAGAGGGGGCTTCGAGGGGCCCGAGATCATGGAGAGTTCCCAAAATATACACAGAGCCCGTTAGATCAGGGGGGGGCATTCATACTTTATACAGAGTTCGTGGCATTGACCAGTAGTACTTGCCTGATATATTCTTGTTGTCTTTTAAAATTGCACTTTTGTGCCTCTTCTTATTTTCATTCTTGGGGTTCACAATGTCTTTGTCCTGCAGCATTGACTCACTTTAACATTTCTTGACGTCTCCTTTCTTGTGTTTCCTTAAATATCAAATTAAATACTGAATTCGGGGGTGTTGGCGTGACCCGGTTTCTCCACTTGTCTCTGCAGGTGTTTCTCCCGGTCGGACCACCTGGCCCTGCACATGAAGAGGCACATCTGAGGGAAAAAGAGAAAAGGAGCGCGAGAAGGGGAAGAAGTAAGAGGAGAAACAAGAGGAGGAGGAGGAGATAAGAGGAAAAAATGGATTGGGCGCTGAAGCTACCAACCGCCCCGCCTTGCTCACCCCGTCCACGAAGCAGCCGGCGGCCACGGCGCCGCATCCATCTGACGGGGCGGCAGCGATGGAAAGGAGCGGCGGCCGTCTCGTCGAGGAGGGAAACGAGGAGTAGCTAGATTGTTGTCTTTTATTCTTTAAAACTACACACTTGCAATAGCGAGCACCTCATACACACACGTCTTTGAATGCATCATCCCGGTGACCCCTTTCAGCTGTCATGTGGCTCTGGGGGCTTGGACACTGCCAAACCAACGTAAACTTACATTACTCAATTACAACATTACGCCGCCTTTGTTTCCGTCTCTGTAGTCAGTGTGTTTGAACCATAAAGAACACTTTAGGTGAGCAGATAGTTCAGTGAGGAATCTTTAACTACCATATACTCTAGTCTGTTGTTAGTGGTTACCGGCTTTGCAAATCGAATACTTTTCCATTGTTTTATTCAATATTTCTCATACACGGAACATACAAAACCATCATCCGCCGCAGTCAGCTTCAGTAATCTATGTGAAGAAAGCAACAACGAATCTGCAGGAGACGGACTATCCGGACTGATATCCGGCCCCGCTGACAATCGGGGGCCCGGACGCTGGGGGTTTTCTCCTCCACGCCACTCGGGCCTCGGCCAGCGGGGGGCTGCTGCAGCTCCCCGGCTCTCCTCCGGCGGGTGTTTGCATCGCTCACCTACGCTGAGTGCTCGCCGCCTCCGCAGGGCAATCTGACAGAAATGCGCAGCGACACTTTCTTCCCTTTTTTTTCTACTTAGAGGACGATAGTTCTTCTTATTGTGGTTATTGCAGCAGAGTGACACTTCTTTTTTTAACGTCTTAAAATTCACTGAATTGTGTTTGAGAAAGAAAAAAAAAAAAAGAACGAAGAAGAGCTTTAAGATGACTTCAATCGAATGTGTGGGACGAGAAGGAGAGCGTTGTTGGTCTTTTGATCTGCATGTGCACCAGCTCTGTTTCTGCAGTCTGTAGGCAACCAGTGGATGAACACACAGACAGCAGAATCGGACCAACACAAGAGGGATTTGTACTTTTTTTGGACTGAAATAAAAGCAAAGAGGGCTTCAGGTTTGTTCGTTTTTTTTTCGGCGCTGTTCTTCCTGCGACTCACTCCAGCTGAAAAACAAAACCCTCGCGTGACCTTTTGTGGTCTCGAACGCTGACTGGAGTAAGGCAGCGTTGGAAAAATTAGGATAACCTGTTTTCTCTTCTTTCTTTTGGATTGTGTGAGTGGTCCTGGAGCTCTTTCACAGACTCGGGGGTCTCTCCTCACCTGGCAGGGCCGCCGGGCGTCAGCGCAGGCCGAGGAGCTGCTTCCCGCTCTCTTGCGTGGGACTCGAGGCGCCAACCGAACCTTTGCGTGGCGGCGCCGAGCACACGCGGACCCGTCGGCCCAGTCGAATTTGCCTGTTTCGTATGCATTGACTGCACTGACTCTGTTTTTTTTTTTTATATAATGTTATCTGTGCTTTTTTTTTTCTACAGCTGAAAAAAAAAAAAACTCAAGAAAAAAAAATCCTAAAAAATCCTAAAAAAAACCACAAAAAAATCTTCTGTCTCGCGCTACACATTGTATAGAGAACAAGAACACACACTCCAACAACACACAGACTTACACTGCGGTTCCTCTGCTCAAGGCTCCTCTTGAGATAAGACTAATACGATTTAGGATAATAATTATTAAACGAATGAACAAAACACTGCATGGCAGGCTTTTTGCAACACACGTACACACACAAGCCCATGTGCACGCACACACACACACACACACTCTTCCTGGAATTATATGTTCTGCTCCCAGATCTTTTTTCACAGTCGGAATTTAGCAACTGTTGTTTAGTAGAAGAGCGTCTTAGCTCCTGGCTGGAGGTAACAAACGATTCCAAATCCTTTGAAGTGAGAAATCGGCTCGTTCTCGGTTGCAGCGATCGCCCGCGTGTCCCTCGCCGCTGTCGGCGCCTCTCATTCAAGAAGCACCGCTAACACTGGTGGTTTACGACAGAGGGAAAGAAAAACACTGCTGTCATCGAATAATACCTAGAAGTTAAACAGCTGCATCAGGTCTTTTTTCACAAACCACGTTGAAACCGTGTCCGTGGTCCTCATGGAGCTTCCTACCCTGCCTCTCGTGTACAGTGAGTTTGAATGTCGACGCGGAAATCTAAGATATCACTTTTCTACATTATATGACAAACCGTTTTCATATAATGCAAACAACCATTGGGATCACAAGCTCCTGGGATTTCTTTCCCACAACATACGTGTTGTTGGTGGAGGATTGAGTCTTGTGGTCACCTTCATGTTTGTGATTAGTGCAATTGGGAAGTAAGTGAAATACATGTTAATGCCTGAGGCCTCTGGGGTGGTTTGCTAGCACGTCTTCAAAAAAAACACACATTCTCAATTGACTTTCATCTGTGAACTGAATGTAGTCACTGAAAACATACAATGTGCAAAAGGATAAGTCGTAGGCAGGAACTGTGTCGAGCACATTTCCACGCCGCCTGCTTCTTTCTCTTAACAAGAAGCAGGACAAAAAAAAGAAGAAGCTTTCCTTCCAATCAGGGCATTGCTGATACCGCTGACACCGCTGCTCCATCCGCCCACCACCACCCATATGCCCCGTAGCGCATGCAAGCAGTCTTAACAGCCGCTGCCGTTGACTGGTGGAGGCGCAGGGTTCCCTGAAGCTGGCGGGGGGGGGCGGAGGGGAGGGGAGGGGTTCACTCCCAGTCATCGTGCCAGCCGGCCTTGCCCGCCTTCATTAGGTGAAGCAGTGTGAACGTTCCTCTTGGAGGGGGGTCCGCGGTGCAGCCTTCAGCAATCGATACCAAAAACCTCCAGCGTGGAACTGCCCTTTAGCCATGGGCGGGGCCTCCCAGCGGGAGACCGCCCCCGTACGAGGCCTCTGTACCCGGCGGCAGCTTTTCTCTACTAACACTCGTTCCGCTAAATGCGACGTAAAGAAACCCACGTCCGAGATGGTTCCTTTCGTTGGTTTCTGTTACTAAAGCTCTGTTGCTGGTTGTTTTTCTGTAGCTTGGGTGATGCAAAGTCATGCTAAAATATTGTGAGATGCGAAGGGATGCAGAAGGAAGTACAATCATAGGGATGGGGATCGTAGCACTTTTGTGAGGCTTTTGATGGTATGAATGTGTGTGCGTGTGTGTGTGTGTGTGTGTGTGTGTGTGTGTCCATTAGGCATCTCGTGAGGGAAGCAGTGATCCAGCATAGTGGTTGAGAACTGATTTTTTTTACTGCTGAAAATGAAATGTTGTTTGATGCGTTTGCTATTAATCTGAGCAACGGCTGACAATGTGTTTATTAGGTTTTTGTTCAGAACCCTCATTCGTTCATACACAAGCATTCATTCATTATTTCGAGTATTGAAACTTGCACTTAGCAGAGGGACAATTACAGTTACAGCTTATTATTTCTGCTTATCTTTTCTCCCTCCAAAAAGTCTCCAGAATTTGTTCTGATTAATGACGTATTAAAAACCAAGTAACGCAAATTAACGGCCAGCGTGTTTTCATGCATAGTGGCTTAAAGCTGAAATTGAATAACAGTTTAAATTGATCGTTTTTATCAAAGATTACAATATTTCTAGGTTTAAATTCAATAAACAACAACAGTGATGAGCCTTATAGGTGCAGTGTGTCGGATTTCGGGTCAATTGGCAGTGAGTTGCAGTTTGTCACCAGCTGAAACTTTCCCTCCATGTGCCAAACATGCAGGGCTGGATGGGCAAACGCTTTGGATTTGAAGGCCCTTTTTGAAATGTTCTTGTTAATCAATGAGCCTTATCAGCGTTAACATTAACATTCATTTTATTTATGACGCCAAATCAATATTGAATTCTGCAAAACTCTATTCCACCCGTATATGGAAAAGTGCATGCTTTCTTTAATTCTGCAAAGAGTGCTTTCAGAGGCGGAATAGGCAGGTCTTGATTCATGATTCATACTAACGTGACTAAGAAGTAGCCGTTGGAGACGTACCAGAGGTACCAGAGTCCAGTTCTCGCTCACTGCACTTACTCGCCCCATCTGGAGCCAGTGTTTGGTTTGTCCATCACGGCTTCCTGTAGACGTTTCTTTTTTAAAAGACGGCTCATATTGAAAAAACACTGATATTCCTTCTCTGCCAATGGGTCCCTTAAATGCTACACACTGTTACTCAAAGTACACTATAAGGAACGCGTCGCTTCCAGCACATTTCTGTAAAGTTCTTAGGTATAAAACATACATCACATCTTCCCCAAACCCAAAAAAGAGCGTAAAACAAACCCAACTCATAGTTCTTCTCCTCCATTAAAGCCCATGTTGACATCTAGATTCTAAAGCCCCTTCAGAAACACTTTTCTGTCACAGAGTTGCTACGGGTCTCCTGCCGTCTCTCAGGACGCTGCGGGCCGTCCAGCAGCTCTGATTAGCATGAGCACTCCTGGGTCCTCTTCTCTAGTGGCTTTGCAGCTAATGAGATAGCGCTGGATCAAAGGGGCACTGATTGGTCTGAGGGAGAGAAAAAAACAACAACAGGGACCCGGAGCCCGGACCGATCGCTGTGCCGTGGACCCGGTGGACCCGGTGGACGGACGAGGAACAAACAGAAGATCCAGTTAGCGTCAACAAATACCAGGAGATGGGGGAGACGTTGAGGTGAAAAAATGATTTCCCCACATGAATATTCCAATCATTAAATCAGCCTGTGCGTTTTATCTCCTGGATTAAGGATCAAATAAATTACCATTTATCTGCAAAGGCCCCACAGATATGAAATCCACTTAGTGTCCACGAACCCTCCCTCTTCCTCCACAGATACAAGGCCATTCTCGTCTCCCTCCACCCCTCCACCCATCATCCCTCCAGCGGAGAGTGAATATGACCCCCCCCTTCCCTGCTCTCTCGCTCACGAAGGTCCATCTCAGGGAGGAGAGCTGCTAATGGCTGTTCAAACCAGATCCAATTAACATCTACCTTCACCCCAGAGATTGTTTCTTATAGTGGATTCTTATTAAAGCTTCTTGAGCAGAAAGTGAAACGGAGTGAACCGCGAAAGTTGCCCTGCATGTCATCGGGGAAGAGATGTCTGGGGAAGAGCAGTGGGTATGAGCCCCCAATAACCGCTTTCAGAAACAAACATGCAACTCATGTAGCTGAGGGAGACACGTCCTTTTAGATCTGCAGCCTCGGATGTGTCAACACATATGGAGTCAAACATAAATGTTGAAGTGATTTTTATGACGGTTTATTCCCCTAAAAGTCCTAGTGTTTTAGGGAACCCGTTGGCGGGCTTCGCACTGGAAATGCGGCTGGTCGAAAAGAAAGGAGAAATCTCGAAAAAAGAACGATGAGATCCAAAATGTTATTAAATCTGTTGATTTGACCAGGTTTCTTAGTTTCTTTAGGGCGCATAACGATTTAGCCAAGAAAAAACAGAT